GAGAGAGAGAGAGAGAGAGAGAGAGAGAGAGAGAGAGAGAGGGAGATAAATGGGATTTTGGAAGACGTAATGATGGAGATAACGTAATGGATTACTTCACCCTCGACTGCACGAAATCGTTCGGTAGAGACGATTTTCGGTTTTGATCGATACTATGTCTTGTGCAATGAAAATGATTTTTTGTTTCGACATCAATTGAGAGTCGAACGATCTATATCTTGCAAAACAGATATTCAAATGTTCTTTGCGACTATAATATAGTACAATCGTCTCTCGCACCTGAAACGTCACAACCTGTTCTCCATCATTCGTTCACTGATTAATTTTCTCAAAATTCGAGAGACACCAGCTTCCCTCAACACGAATAAATATATCTCGTCGCTTAATTCTGTGAGAAAAACGAGCGAAAGTCCCTATAAATCCATTAGAAGATACAACGCACCCCATGAAAATCTTTAGCGACCATACGCGTTGGTGTCACGAGTGTCCGTCAAATAAATCTTCAACGTTCGAGCGTGGACCTTTCCGAAACCGGCGAAATATCGCGACAGCCGTATCGAAAGTAATTTGTAAGCATCGGGCACATTTTCCCTACGATGGAGAAGGAGAGGGGCTAATAACGTAACGATAACGATATTCGCCGCTGCTAAAGGGGGACTAATGACTTCTGTGCTCGCCGGGCCGAGGCCTGCAAATTTAAATGCAATTTGAGCGAACTACCCCGAGCGGGGTCGCGGCTGTGTGTAACCCCCGGTCGAGGTCCCCCGGCGGACGTCATATTTCGCCGTCGGAATGGCCGCGTTACGGCCAACTTCGGGGAGCCTCGAAGCTCCCTGGACCACGAGTAACCGTGACCAGGCGGTGGGAGGGCCGGGAGAACACCTCCTTGCGCGGAAATTTTATCGTTCCCCGCTCGAAACTTCCACGCTTTCGCCGCTCTCTTTCGAAAATCGCCTCCGGTCGAATCGAAAGGATTCGACCGGCCATTTCCCGGGTCGAGGTAAGGAAAGTTTCGAGTATCGGTGTTGAGAGAGTTATGCCAGCGATGGCGCCTCTACCCTCCCGGAAGTTCGTGCGCCGCGAGTGCTTAGGTTGTTTTAGTATCTTGCCGATAGTTGCCGATTTTATCGCTCGAACTGGGGGAGAGAGTACGGTGAGCTTACGGTGGAAAAATTTAGGTAAAATACGCGCGTGATAAAATGTATACGATGTTATGTTTTTTATTAAGTCGGGAACAAAAACTCAAAGTCGAGAACCTTTTTTTTGTATTCGAATGTGTATTATATTTACAGATAATCCTGTTGTAAATTTATAAAGTTTCTATGATATATCACCACGCCGACAAGCGAGGTATAAAGTTTGTAGCAAAGAAATTGAAAGGAAGAAATTTATAACACAATAAAGAACAGAAATTTCTATTTATATATTTTACTAAAAATCGCTTGATTCTCTGTAGATACACTCTGTTATAAATGTGTAAAAATTTTTATGGAAAAATTCGAATGTTGAATTAAATTTGCCTGTCGGTAACTGAGAAGTTCTGTACAAGTTCTATGTAGAGATCAGTTCTTAATTTTAACTTTTGCTACCGAGTTCTTGCAATCGATTCCGTACGTCAGATACCTACGCGTAGTCTCTGGAAAACTATCTCTTTGATAAATAGCCAGATGAAGACCCCGTGTTCAGCCAGTTAGCGCTACTGCAATATTCAGTGGAACAGATAAAGAATACGAACGACGGATGTGACAGTCTGCCAGCCTATACTTTTAAAAGCCCTCCGCGAGAGCCTCGTTTCCAAGAATCCAACCACCCTCTTACCCAGGCCGCCGCACGTGCATTCAATTTTAATCAAATTCGAGAATAATGATTCTAAAACCTTCCCGTGGTTAATGCGCTTCTGTCGATGGGTCGGCGAATTGCCACTGAATTTTGCATCGATTCGACGCGTCAATTTGCAGTCGAGCCAAAAGACACGTTGGATGACGATGAAAATTGTTTCCAGAATTGATTCCAGCCATTCTCTCTCTCTCTCTCTCTCTCTCTTTTTGCTCGACATCCGGAATAGCGGCGGAGGTTAATATTTCACGTGCTCCGACGGTTCCGGGCGTCGAGAAAATGGGAAAGGCAAGGCCGCGAGTTTCTAGGTACAAAAAAAAAAAAAAAAAAAGAAAAAAAAGAAGAAGAAGAAGGGGGTGCCTGGGAGAAAGGGTGGCCAGGCTGCGTGAAGTTATGAGGCCCCTTCCGGTTGGAACAACCGGGACTACCCGCGGCGTGATTTAACGGCAGAAAGTGTTCTTTCTCATTCAATAAAACCGTCGCTTTTCCCCCGCACATAGTCACACTGTGTGTCCTCCCACGGACAGAGCTTCAGTTCCTGGCTGGCCAGAGAAGTCCAGCCAGAGACAGAGAGAAACGAAAGGGAATGTAGAGGCAGTAGACCTGTAATTGCACGAGTGGAGCTGTGCTCCTTGGACACGCTATTTGTCACGCGGGGCTGGATATCCCCCGCGCGATAGAATATCTATTATCGTTTCCATTCTATTAGCATACTACGACTATTACCTAGCTCGTTACACCGGGGTGAGAACGAGTGCTTTCGTGGTGTTCCGTCGGTGAATGGAAAGTTAAGCGGGCGGTTGATTGATGAAAGCGTTGGGAGATGTTAGCGTTTGTTTTTAAATGAAAGAAATCGGTGTTGGTAGGATGTTCGGTACACGGTTCGAGGGAGGAGGGGAAGAGACAGGGAGAGTTACGGTCGTTAGTCTTGGCGTAGTTTCTGATGTTGTAGATAGCGCCGGGGAAATATTAATTTATGGATCTGTTTGTAATGCACGTTCCAGGAGCAGAGATTCATAAATAATGGGATATTTACGGAGGAAATATCGTTGGAAGGTTAATGAAAAGCTTAAGAGTAACTTCTTTAAACGTAAACCGAATCGATTGCAATCGAATTTCTCACTCTCTCTCTCTCTCTCTCTCTTCCCGTGAATATAAAATTATAACCAATTTTTGGTCATCTCGTCGCTTAAATTGGTGTTTCAATATTTGCGAACAAAGTTGCACACGTAGAATTCCGCGGTAAACGATGT